CTTCCTAATGCCAAAGTCACCTGGGCAGGCAGTCACGATTGAGTATGACTGCAACCAGAGGTTCAGCTTCATCACAGTGGAAGGAGAGGTGATACGATATCCTGCCCGGGTTTATGGAGGATCAAGTTTTGGGGAAGCATCTGTGACCCCAGTGGAGGTGACAGGAGTAGGCGCCCTACTCCCTACTCTGGGCACACACAGGATGGAGTGTCACAGCTCCAGAGGGCAGGCCCATGCTGTCCCCATGTTCAAGAGTTAGGTGGCACCCACGTGGTCCTCCCTGGTTTCTGGCAAATTGTCAAGGATGGCAAGGCCTTGGCCAGATAGCTGCAGGGACAGGAACTGTCACCCACCCTTGCAGGTCTGCAGTGCATGGCCGGAGGGCCAGGAACGAGGTCCCATTAGGATGTAGGGAGTCCTCCAGGACTTGTCCTCAGCATGTGGATGAGGATCTTTCCTGATACTTGGAAGAGGATTCCGTGGGAGACAGGTCACCAGAACCCTCCAGCCTCCAACACCAGAACCACGACTGGCTCCCCAGAGACTCCAACTTCCTCCACTAATACACAAGGACATGAAAAACACAGGGGCCCACCTTGACCCTCATCCTATCCTTTCCAGAAAAAACATTTGTTCAGAGGTAGAGAGTGAGCCCTAGGAAGGGTTGAGAGGATTATTTACCTACTGTCGATGCAGGTAAGGTAGTGGTCAGCAACGCGTCTTTAATTGCAACAAAAACAAAGGCTAGAATTAAACTTGAGGGTGAAAAGCTCCAAAAGGAAAAGTCTCCGGACATAGCAAGCATCATGAAAACTACTCAATTTCTGGTTCCTGTCACTTGCTCCCCATGTGTCTGCCCAAGTCTTCAGCCCAGTGAGCTCAGCAAGGGACACAGGCCTCACTGGAGACCAATCTGATCCCTCTGACCTCTGGGTTTGCCTGCCCCATCCACTGACACATGTGTTGCAGGAAGTCAGGGACCCTGAACAGAGGGACCGGCTGAAGCTGCGGCAGAAGAACATAAATTGTGAAGATTTCACGGACATTTATTAGTTCCCCAAATTAATGCTTTTATAATTTCTTACACCTGTCTTTACTGTAATCTCTGAACATAAATTGTGAAGATTTCATGGACACTTATCACTTCCCCAATCAATACCCTTGTGTTTTCCAATTCCTGTCTTCACTTTAATCTCTTAATCCGGTCATCTTCTTCATAAGCTGAGGAGGATGAATGTCACCTCAGGACCCTGGGATTGTATCAACTGCACAAATTGTTTGTAGAGCATGTGTGTTTGAACAATATGTAATCTGGGCATCTTAAAAAAAAAAAAAAGAACAGGATAACAGTGAGATTCAGGGAGCGAGAGAGGTAACTTTGAACTGGCTGCCGGAGAGCCAGACGGAACAGAGCTATATTTCTCCTCTTTCATAAGCAAATAGGAGAAATATTGCTGAATTCTTTTTCTCAGCAAGGAACATCCCTGAGAAAGAGAATGCGCCCTGAAGGTAGGCTTATAGATGACCCCTTTTAAGGCGTCCCATCTTTTGTGGTTGAAGCCGAAGGGATGGAATAAGCCCCAGTCTCCTATAGTGCTCCCAGGCTTATTAGGTGGAGGAAAATTCCCGCCTAATAAATTGTGGTCAGACGGGTTACCTGCTCTCAAACCCTGTTTCCTGATAAGATGTTATCAATGACAATGTGTGCCCGAAACTTCATTAGCAATTTTAATTTCATTTCATCCGGTGGTCCTGTGATCTTGCCCTGCCTCCATTTGCCTTGTGATATTTTATTACCTTGTGAAGTATGTGATCTCGGTGACCCACACCCTATTCGTGCACTCCCTCCCCTTTTGAAAATCGCTAATAAAAACTTGCTGGTTTTATGGCTCAGGGAACATCACGAATCCGGCCAACATGTGATGTCTCCCCCGGACACCCAGCTTTAAATTTCTCTCTCTTGTGCTCTTTCCCTTTATTTCCCAACCCAGCCGAGACACTTAGGAAATAAAAAGAACCCACATTAAACATTGGGAGCAGGTTCTCCCGATACACATGGACTAATGGGCACATCTGACACCATTGCTGAGCCTCCGACCATTGGAGCTAAAGTGTTAGAAGGATCAGGGAGCTGCCCAAAGGAGTATAAAGTCTCCTAGCAAGTGGAGGCACCAGAAATATGTAATATCTCTCTCCCTGCCTGAGCATGGCCTCTGCCTTTCTGGATGTAGATGGGGCCCTGACGCATCTGGGGGTGTTTGAAGGACTTTGTGTCTGCCCATAGCAATCAGGTTGACACAAAACCAACCCTCACCCTTGCACGTTAGTAGTCCCTGCATCAGCAAGTATGAAGAGGCCACTCCAGCAAAAATCCAGCCTGTCATCTCCTAGCCCAGCCCACAGGCATTCATAACAAGGCTTTGCTCAGCAGGCCTCATGGACATTGCCACCACCCCACCACCACCACACCTGACTGGTGCACAGGCAGGACACTGCAGTGCTCTGGAGGGAATTGCAGTCAAGCAGGCCAGACATGGACAGTCAGGGACAGTCACAAAACTGCACTCCCAGCCTTGTGTTTCCAGTCTGATGCCTCCTTATTGGTCCTCGGCAGAAGACCCTCCCTTCCCAGCATGAGCCTTTGCTTCTGGGCTCCTTCCAGTGAGATTGTCCCTCCACCAATGCCTATATGTGCTGTATCCACCTCACCCTCACCTAAACCTTTCAGTAGGGGAAAGGGAGAACCCTGGAGAGCCAGCGTACTATAGTTTGGATGCTTGTCCCCTCCAAGACTCATGTTGGGATTGGATCCCCAAGTATACAGGTGAGGCCTGATGTCCCATGTCTGGGTCATGGAGGCCAACCCTTCATGAATCACTTAGTGACCTCCCTGGTCAGGGATGAGTTCTTCTCTTAGTTCCTAGCAAGAGCTGGTG